CCGGCCCCGGAGAGCCGGCTCCAGCCGCCCGCGGAGCTCGCAGGGAGGCCGAGCCGCAGGAGCCTCCGACACAGCCTGCCGCTCATCCCGCGGAACAAACTCACAGACACCAACACGGAGACTTCCGAGCCTCCACACCGGGTCACCTCCGAGGGGAGAGACCCAAAACCCGGACCGGCCTCAGCTGAGCTCACCGGAAACCCCGGAAACGGATCACAGCCTGAGAACGGAAGTAAAATTGAATAAAATAAGATCAAAATAAAATGACTTAAATTAAATAAAATAATATATAAACAATACAGTGATAATTAAATTAATAAGTTAATTTAATAAAATTAAATTAATTAAATTAATAAAATAATTTGCGTTTGTTGTTTGCCGTGTCACGCTGTGTTTAAACCGCGTTTCGCTCCTGTTTGTCCCACTTCGCTCGCCTTAGAGAAAGGGGCGGGGCGGAGCAGATGATGCTACAGCGTTGCAAGCTGGGTAAACACGTGTGTGAGATCGCGGAGGAGCGGACACTGTGTCGGTAAAGTTTCACCAGTTTCTAAGTTTAATTTAAAGCTCGCGTTGTTTCAGGTGTTTCAGATGTTTCAAGCGTAGACGTGCTGTTTCCGGTCCTCTCAAGTGTTTCCTGTGCTCTCAGCTATTTCCGGTGTCTCCAGGTTGTAAACATGAAAACAGAAAGCCAGGCTGAGGTGTGCGGCGCAAACTGAGCGATGATTTCAAACCCGATCCTCTTTAAAACCTCCAAAAGTTTCAGAGGATGAAACAGACAAGAGCACAGAGAACGATTCAAAACCGTCAGATCAATAAAACGGTGAGATCGATAAGAACCGTCTGGGCGCTGCAGTCTGAGCTCATCGCGGCTCAACGACACTGATACCTGTGAGGTCATCACCGGTTGCTGCGTCGGTTCGCACACGTCTGTGATGACAGTGAGAAATAAGGGGCGTGTTTACACGCCGCTGACCTCTCGTGACCTCAGCTGGACCTCAGCTCCTGCCTCCTCGGACGATCACAGCCTGGAAGCCTGGAGCCTGTCCCAGCGCTCACACCGCGAGAGGCGGGTCCACCCGGGCAGGTCGCCGGTCTGTCAGCCGGCACCTGTAAACGCAGCATGTAGCAGGAAGCTGGAGAACTCAGAGGGAACCCAGGCAGGAGCCGGGACAACCAGCAGGTTCTAACCCAGAGCTGTGAGGCAGCCGTTCCGTCCACTGGACCGGCCTGCTGCACAGACTGTCTCCACACTGCTCCTGCACGGGGGACAAACTGTGGTCTGCCTGGAGCTCGGAGGAGGCAGGAGCGAGTCTCCGTCCTTCAGGACCAGAAGATCCAGCGGAGGTCATGAAGAAGAAGGACTGGCGCTGTACACACTGACATCACAGAGTTCATGTTGTCCACCACTGCACGTTTCTTTGCTCCGTGTCATTGTTGTTGGCATTAAAATTGTGTTTTAAAACGTGAGCGTTTTCAGTTCTACGACCTCATAAGTCCTGCACGAGCCGGTGATCGTAGTAATGAGGATTACTGAATGACCCTGAATGCCACACGTGTGTCCATCAAGAGGCTGGGGGTTGGGTTTGACGTCCGAGCAGAAACCAGCTCGGTGTGAAACGTGGTTTTTAACTGGTTTCTGTTCTGCAGGTGACGCTGGGATTTTACCGCCATGTCGTCCAAAAAACGCCCAGACGGGGACGAGCGCTTCCTCCGGGTCCAGAAGGACCCGCGGTTCTGGGAGATGCCAGAGAGGGAGCGCAAAGTCAAGATCGACAAACGCTTTCAGTCCATGTTCCACGACGAGCGCTTCAAGGTCAAGTACACGGTGGACAAGCGAGGGCGGCCCATCAACCACACCTCCGCTGAGGACCTGAAGCGCTTCTACAAACTGTCCGACTCCGAGGGGGAGGAAGCTGGCGAGGGCGAGGAAGCAGCAGAGGTGAAGAAGAAGAAGGACGTTGGCGGCGCCAAAGCAGAGCAGCCTAAAGGAGCAGCGAGTCTCTCTGAAGGTCAGGAGATGTTTTCATGTTAATGAACTTCTGGTAAAAACACGCCGTTACCATAGCAACACTGTGTGGATGATTGAGGGGTGTCCAGGTGACCTTTGACCCTGCTCAGGTAAGCGTGTCAGAAACGATTTGACCGTCTCTCTTCTGTTCGATGCTGATGCAGGTGTTGAAGATGATGACGAGCAGCGGTCTGCAGAGGAGGATGAAGATGACCTAAGCGTCTCTGATGAGGAGGAGGAGGAGGCGCAGAGTGACGAGGCGAGTGGATCTGATGAAGAGGAGTCGGGCCTGGATTCGGGGGACGACAGCGACAGCGGGCCGGATCTGGCCCGGGGGAAGGGCAACATCGAGACGAGCTCGGACGAAGACGACGAGGACGACGTGGGCGCCATCCTGAGGAAAGAGGAAGAGGAGATCGAACACGACTGGGGGGAGCTGTGCAAAGACGCGCCGCGGAGCGACGAGGTGATGCTGTGTGCGGTAAAGGCTGAAGGTCAAAGGTTAGTCTGCGCCACCAGGAAACGTTGCTAACACGATCTCACCGCGTTAGGTGTCGGCGCGGCTCGCCGTCTGCAACATGGACTGGGACCGGCTGAAGGCCCGAGACCTGCTGGCTCTGCTCCAATCCTTCACGCCCAAAGGTGGCGCCGTGCTCTCTGTGAAGGTAAGGAGACCTGCGTGGGTTTGTCTGTGTGTGGGCGGAGCCGGGAAGTGCTGATGATCAGCACAGTGCGTGCTGGGTTATGCTTGCAGATCTACCCGTCAGAGTTTGGGGAGGAGAGGCTGAAGGCGGAGGAGAGTCAGGGACCGATGGAGCTGAAGGCGCTGCCCGACGACTCGGAGGACGACACGGAGGAGGAGAGGTAATGATGATGTCACAGAGAGGCGGGATTTAGATGCAGTTTTCAGCCAGACTTTGTTAGTCGAGCAGCTCGTGGGAAAGTTTGTGTCATGAGGCTGCGTCGGCTCTGACGGTTCGGCACCGGCGGGACGTTTGTTGGCTTTTCAACATAAAAGGTGGATTACATGAATATGCAGGCCACTTCATTAGGTACACCCTGCATGCATCAGATTCAACATCTGCTGGAGTGACATCATCATGACATCATCGCACAGGTGCTGTAGTGAGTGCAGCAAACTCATCGTGGTGTTCTAGAAACCGTCTGAGATGACCTGAGCTTTGCTGGAGCAGCGCTCCACGCCATCACAGCGGCGCCTCTGCTAGCGTTTCACTCAGGGAGCTGCTGCTCGCTGCAGATCAGCAGAAACACAACCGTGACACGTTCATGGTCTCTGAAACCTCCTTTCTTCATCAGTCGGGTCAGTTTAAACTTCAGCATGTCTGCATGCGCTGAGCTGCTGCCCTGTGATTGGCTGATCAGGTATTTGCATTAACGAGCAGATGCACAGGTGTACCTAATGAAGTGGCTGTAACTGTAACCTTATTGCTTTGAAACAAGCTGCATTTGGACACCAGTGATTCTGTGTACACTTAAAAACAGCTGTGCAGTATCAGGTGGGCGGGGCTCCCTGCTGACCTGTCAGACGGTCATGGGTGTTGTGTGCTCTCAGGGTTTACAGGGAGAAGCTGCGGGACTACCAGTTCAAGCGTCTGAAGTATTTCTACGCCGTGGCGGAGTGCGACTCGGCCCAGACGGCGGCGAAGATCTACGAGGAGTGCGACGGCTACGAGTACGAGAGCAGCTGCTCCGTCCTCGACCTGCGGTACGTCAGCAAACGGCAAACGCGCGCACGTCAGGCTCACGCTAGCTGCGCTCGGACCTGCGTGTCAGCGAGCAGACTAAAGTGACTCATGTGTTCCTGTTGATAAACTTCAGCTTTCCCCGCTTCAGTTATTCCATAATGAAGGTTTGTAGATGTAGTCGTTCCTGAATCGGACGTCTGCAGGGAAGCCAGGATCTGAGTATTTAACATTCCCCAGCTGAGCTTCCATCCATGAACTTTAGTTCAGTCAAAGGTCAGAGTGCACGCGCTGCAGGGTCACCATGATGACGCGCGCGTTAATCATCCAATAGTTACACACAGATTTGTTCCAGCTTGTTGATGAAAGCCAAACGCGTCATGTTGTTCAGCTTCAATGTCGATCATCGACTTTAGAAGCTCGTTAAAGGATCTCACGGCTTGTCCTCTTCTCCTGATACGAGCAGCTTCGTTCCCGATGACGTGAAGTTTGACGAGGAGCCCAAAGACGCGGCGACGGACGTAAACCTGTCGGCCTACACGCCCAAGCTCTTCACCTCGTCTGCGACCGCCACCTCGAAGGTAAGCGCTTCCCCGACACTCGCCATCAGAGGCGACAGGAAGAGTGTTGGCAGACTTTACAGGTGTGATGATGTCAGGCGGGTTCACCTGTGCGAATGAAGTTTGTTACTCAGAGCTGACGTCAGGGCAGGAGCTCCGTGCAGCAGGCGGTGACGTGTTTGTGTCGACCCGATCAGGTGCAGCTGACGTGGGATGAAACCGATCACGAGCGCGTGACGGCCCTAAACAGGAAGTTCAACAAAGACGAGCTGCTGGACATGGACTTCAGAGCCTACCTGGCCTCCTCCAGCGAAGAGGAGGAGGAAGGCGGTGGTGACGGAGCCTTTGAAGAGGACGTGAAGACGGCGGCAGGTGAGAAACACGAGAACATGACGGTTTTCTGACTGCTGAAATGTGAAAGCGGCGCCGAGCAGGTGTGCTGTGTTTGTGCCGGACAGACGAGCGCGTCGTGGAGGCGCAGGAGAAGAAGACGAAGAGCGAGGAGCAGATCTCCAAGTACAGAGAGCTGCTGAAAGGCATCCAGGAGAAAGAGAAGAAGGTGCAGGAGGACAAAGACATGGAGATGGAGGTCACCTGGGTGCCAGGTACGAGCACGCAGCCTCACTTCCTGCTTTCTTAACACGAGGAGAGGTCGGGCCTGAAGGCGGGGCTTGTTTTAAAAGTGTTTTTCTCCACGCCGCAGGCCTGAAGGAGACGACGGAGCAGCTG